CCTGGAGGGGTGGAGGAATGCCAGATTGCCTGGGATTCAGGAAGAAAGAGGTTCTGATACATCAGACATTAAAAAAAAAAAAAAAAAAGCCAATGGTTAAAGCAGTTTGAAGTGGACAGACTCAAGAAAGTGTTGCTCCTAAGCAAGGAAACATTTCCAACAGGATCCTCTAAGACCTTGCATTGGCTCATTCCACAAATATTTCTCAAGTCCTAACTACACACCAGGTACTAGGCTAAGTACTCTGCGTTCAACAGGAAACAAAATGCTACCAATTCTTGAGCATTCTGGGGCTCGCGTTTTAATTGTGGCTGCTAACAGAGACAAGAGGTGCCGTAACCCAGACTTAACAGGCTGAGCTCTCTCGATTCAGGACCTGAGCTGGGTTGTGTCCAAGAACAAAGACTGGGAGAAGCCCCTTGAGGCCTTGTTGGTCTCCCCGAGGTCATTTGTGAGCCTTAATATAAAGAAATGTCAAAACAGTCCAAAAGTTGACAGATGAGGAGCTACGGCCCTCTTAGAGTCTGAACTTTCTTGGTTGTACAATCTGCAAAAAGAGAAATGCCGTTCTTGGAGCCATGGACGCTCCATTCTTTCATGTCTACTGTCCGCAAACAGCTGATCTTATCAGAGCAGTCAGGAGGGCCTGACTTGCTCCAAACAAGTTAGGACTGACACCAGAACCCAACATTCACGTCCTGGGCAGCCTGCGACGGTGGTTCACAAGCTCAGGTCCACAAGTCAGCCCTCCCACCCCCGCCGGTTCTAAATGTTCTGCCATTTCACATCTGTGGAACCTAACCAAAGCTCTCCAGGCCTCAATTCTCTACCTATAAAATCACAGTAGCAACTTCAGTCCTTGCCCCAGAGGAGGATTGTGAGAATCAACTGAAAATAAGGCATGTCAAGTGCTTAGCCCAAAGCCTGGCAATTAGAACAACCCAGTAGATAGTAGCTATGATTGCTTTTCCCCTCTAAGTCGGTGTTGGGTTTTTTGTGTTTTTTGTTTTGTTTTTTGGGGGTTTTTTGTTGTTGTTGTTTTTTGTTTTTTTTTCTTCTAGATCTACCCTTGTGTTTCAGATGTGTGTAGACGGGGAGAATTCACCAGCTAGTCTTCAGATTGCATAACGGCTAGACAGGATCATAACAGAAACTAAAGGAGGAATAAACATCACAGGAAGACTGTGGATTTTGAGGTCAAGAGGCAATGCACAAGTCTGCGCTGCGGAGAGATCCTGGGACATTACTTCTGCACACAACCGCTAGAAGGATCTTGGGTGACTGTCTGCTGGAGAGCACGTGAGTGTCTTTGTGGTTGTCCACATGACAGTTAAATTCTATCAGGCTTTGGACTTACGGGAGTGTGGAAGGGCGTGTGTCTCCCCACAAGGGCTAAGAATGAACTACAAGCAACCACCCTATTAGCCGACGGTTATTAAAAACACACCACCTTCAGTGTCTACGGAGCAGGTGAACACCATGTATAGACCACAAGCAACCCCAGGACCCAACTATGGTGGCCACGCCACTGTGGGAACAGCCAGACTTGGAAACGTGCGTCCACTTTTCTCTGGGTGTGTTGGCGTGGCAAGAGTAGCAGGAGTTCAGAGGGGAAGGAAGTTCATGAACTTGCATGTAATTTAACAGAATGAGCGGGGCGGGGGATGGGGGAGGGTGGGAATCACATGAAATTTTAAAACACTTCAAAGGGCACCGATCAGCCTCAACCCCACATTGTATGGGAGGTTGGTGGCTGCCTCTTTTAAGAGAAAGTCTGAAAAGCACTAGAGTGGTGGGGAAGAATACAGAGGTAGACTTTCAAGATCTGAGTTTAAGCCAGAAGGCTCAGGCGCTTATTTTGTTATCTTGAGCAAGTCACTTCTCTTGAGTTTCCTCATCAGGTAGATGGGGCTGTTCCTCATAGAATCAACTTTAGACTTGATCAGGGGCTGAGAAAAAATAATATATGGAGAAGTGCTGTACCAGTACTTATTAGGGTCATCAGAGAAAGGGGCTGTGGAAATCAGCTCCCTTGGCGTGGGTGCAGGCTGAAGGTAACGTGCTCTAGTTGTGAAAGCGATTCAAAGTTGATGGCAAGGTAGAAAAGTAAAGACCCAGTGTGTGAACAGCTGGGTACACACTCGTTGCACAAGCACCTCGTAAATTAATCCTCAGCGGAAGCCACTGACCTAGGAGAACCAAGAAAGGAGAAAACACAACCCAGTCACTCCTGTCACTTTGCTACCCATGGTTGGTTGAAGATGGAAAAGAAGAGAGAGCCACCTAGCAGGAAAGGAGAAGGCCAGCCAATCCAGCCGCTTGTGCCTCACTGCCTATGGGTTACTGTTAAGATTCCTGGGTTTGCCCTGAAGGAATCGCTGTTGGAGTCTATTGAGGCTCCCTCTGGAGCGTTTCAAGTCAGTCTCTGGTTTTAGGCACCTGTAATTCAGCCTGCCTTTTCCAAAATGCACTCAAAACCAGAAAATAAAATGCAGAACAAATGCAATCAAATGACATCATTGTTCTGAGTGACAATCGGGGGCACGCTGATCCTGTGACCCCATTAAATGGGGCTGCAACCTGCTATTGTCTTTTCAGTGGCAAATCCAGTAGCACCAGCACACGGCATTGTTTACACAAGCAGGCGCCAAGCAAATAGCTGTTGAATTAAGTATCTTATCTGCCTGTTTAATAGGTTCGAAAAATTGTCAGCTTTTTCATCAAACCTACCACCTTCCCCCCCCCCATTCAAACCCCTCTTGAAATTTACTTCCATTAAGGCTCTTTAATGCGGAGTAGCAGCAAGGAATTTACTTAAATTAGGAAAAAAAGAAAAAAAAAAGCAAAACTCCAAGCTCCCACCTGTGCAGCCATGACATGCTATTGTTTGAATCAGAGTATATTATTTAACTTGGATGACAAGCTCAGGGGGTAGGGACCCTGTCTTTCAGAATCCACAGCTCTCAGCACACTGGGAATTCTTGATAAATAACAGCAGCAAGAAAGGCTGCGGAGGGACCCCTTTTAATTATTTATTTTTCCGGTTCCAGATTTTTGGCAGTGTGTATTTATACCTGGCTTGATTTCCAAGGGAAAGCTCTCTCCAGAAGCTCCCCTGAAGAGGGATAAACAGCTCTCCGACTGCCCCCCTCCCTTCCCCTCCTCATCCCAGAGCAAGTAGGAACACCTGATCGAGCCAAAACGTGGATTCGGAGTGCACTCGGGATGCCTGCTGGGTTTGGAAAGGAGCGAAGTCCTCCAGGACCCCACGGGTACAGAGAGGCAGTCAAGAGAATTGTTTTGGCTCCACACATCCACACAGCTGTCAGATGACAGGGCCTGGACCTCTACTGTTATTACCCGCTGTGGGCCTCTGAGCTGTCTTGTCATTAACTCCAGAGACCAAGGATACCTAAAGCTTGGCACTAAGTAACATTTGGAGGTGCGTTCAAGTCTTTCCATGGAGGAGTAAAAGGCAACGATTTCTGCCCCACTTGAACTCTCAGATGCTAAACATCTAATAAAAACATATGAAACAGTATATGTGTATGGCAAGATGAAGGCATTTAGGGAGCACTAGTTATTACCTATGCTTTAAAAAATTATACCAGTAACTAAATGAAGGCATTACCCGCGTGTCCCAGCACACAACTGATAGGCAAGGAGGGAGAAGCAAATGGCCATCTAAGGAACCTTCGAAAGGACCTCCGTTTTTGTTTTTTCTTTTTCCCTCCTTGGATAACAGGGTGAATATTTGGTAAGATGTGCTTGGCAGAGAAAGGGGTGGGTGGGGCTGGGAGGGTCTTTCTGTACACATATTACCATACCTAGAGCCCAGGCTCCCCTGTGCACAACAATGTATCATTACAACACGTTTTCCAAGTGGAGACTTCTCCCCTTCCTCTCTGACGCATTTTACCCCAAAACAATGGCAACACCTGTAGCCGTTAATTTCTGCTCTTTGATTTCTGTCCAGTTATAAAGGAGGCTCTCAGCAGGCTCCCCTCTCAGGGGCCATATGTGGAGTCGACGTGCCAGCATCCTTGGAAGGAAAACGGCCTCTGAGAAGTGCACAATGGCTCCCTAATCCCCATCAACTGGACCCTCTTGAACCGCCGCTTTATTTTCCAGTCAAAGAGCTGCCAATCTCAAGAGTCAAGCTGTGGCTGCCCTGAGAACCCGGGGGCGGGAACCTGGGCTCTGGCTGGCTGGGCACAACACAAGGGTGGTGTCCCTGAGCCCCACAGTCGAGTCCGGTAACGTGCAGCCTAGAAACTGTGCGGCATCCCAACCTCTTATCTCACTCTCCCCTCCAGGCTGAAGCTTTTATCCACAAAGAGACCTCAGCCTCCCCTGCCTCTCCCGCCGGAGACCACAGCGCACTCACAGCACAGCCGCAGCCCCGCCCCCTCACACCGGGTCACGCCGAGGGTTCTGTTCCCCCAAGCGGGAGCCCCTCTTCTAGACTAGCACTGACCCATGCTGAGCAGGCTAGCAACTCTTCTGACCACATCACGTGTGTTGCTGGTTTGGGGGGGGGGGCTGGGGTGTGGCAGCGCGCCCTTTAGGTTCAACCGCCTTCTCTGCCCAGCGCGCCGCGTTTGGTAACGGTGTAGAGAAGGGTCAAACCCACACGCCTGCTAAGACCGTGCACCTGGGGAAGCGATTAGGGAAGGGAGGGGGGTAGGCTGCCTGCGGAGGCTCAGCCCCAAACAAGCGTCGTTTGGACAGAGAAGGATGGTACTGGGATGCAGTCATTAGAGTTTTCAGCCAAACTCCTACCCTCTCCACCTCCCTTTTTCCACTCCCTTTGGGGAACTCCGGCTGTGCTTTAGGGCAGCCCGAGGTCTCGGAGACAGTAAGAGAACGGCTCTTCGGCAGCCACCGAGCTGTGGGAATCCGGGACTTGGTGAATGGCAACCGGGTCTCCCTCCCGCTCGGCCTCGGCGGCGGCCCCCAACACCAACACTCCCCGCGGCGCCCCGGGGGGCAGGACTTACGCAGTTCTGCTCGGCCGTCTGGAAGTCCCAAGAGCAGCTCTTGGCGCGCTCCTGGATCTCACTCATCCTGAAGAGGCAGAGTGCGGTGGTGGCGGGGGAGCGCCTCTCCTGGCCCTCCCCGGTGGCCGCGCTGAACACGCCCGCCCAGACGCCCAGGGCCTCCACCAGGCTGGAGGAGAGGAGCAGGCGCCGGCCGTCGGGGTGGCCGTGGCCGCAGTCGAGGGCCGCCTGACCCTGGAACTGCAGCACCTTGGCGCTCTGCGCGATGCGCACCATGCTGGGCCAGCCGGTGGCGGCGCCGCTCGTGTAGTTGTAGGGATAGTAGGGGAAGTAGACGCTGCCGTTCCAGAGAAAGGCGTCCACGAAGTGCAAGCTGCCCGCGCCCCCGCGCAGCTTGAGGCGGCCCAGCTCCTCCGTGGCCAGGCTACGTCCCTCCGTGTCCTTGAGGGCGATGGCGGTGTCGCGGTCGGACGCCGCCGGGTTGCAGCGGCTAGCCGTCTCAGGCTCCGGCAGCACGTAGGTGGCGGCCACCGCCAGGTACCAGCGGTTCTGGTCCCCCGCGCGGTACACCACGCCGGCCGTCGAGCCCTGCGGGTGACACGACACCACCTCGGTGCCGTTGCGCAGGGAGCCGTGGCTCAGGTTGCCCAGCAGCCGCACCTCGCAGGCGCCCCGGTCGAAGGTCCAGCCGGTGAGCAGCAGCCCCGGGAGGTCGCCCGCCCCCTCGCTGTAGGGCAGCAGCAGCTTGCTGAAGCTGCTCCCCGGCCGGGGCCGCGCGGGGGGCGCCAGCGAGACGGGCTCCGTGCAGTTGCCCGCTTGGTCCCGGTACAGGCGCGAGAGCCTGTGCTCCAGGCTGTAGTCCAGCTGGTCCAGGCAGCTGCCGCTCGCCACGAACACGCCGTCCTTCCGGCTCGCCGCGATGGCTCCGATGGCTTGCTCCGACCGCCACACGGGTTCGTCCGCGCCCCGGCTCGGCGCCGCCAGCGCCAGCAGATAAGCGAGCAGGGGCAGCGGCGCGGCTGGGCGCGGGGGGCGCGGCGGTGCCTTCCTCCGGGAGACCTCCATGGGGCTGGGGGGGCCGCCCCCGGGCAGGGCGCGCGGCGGCGACGGCGGCTCAGGCGCGCGGCGACGGAGACGCGGGCGGCGGCGGCGGCGGCTCCTGCGCGCGCTCGGGCTCCAGCGGCCGCCCCATCCCCGCGGCTCGCCCGGGAAGGAGAGCAGGGAGGGCGGCACGCGGCGGGGCCGCTCCGGCAGCCTGCGCGGCGACTGTGGCGGCTGCGGCGGCGGCGGCGGCAAGCCCTGCGCGCTCCGGAGCGGCTTCCTCCTCGCCCTGCTTCTCCGGAGAGTTCCTCTGTGCAGCGCTGGCGCTCGCGGGGAGGCGCGGAGGGTAAGGGAGGGGACGGGCGGAGGGGAGCGAGGCAGGCGGGGAGGGCTGGAGAGGTTGGGTGCGCTTGTGCGTTTCACTTTCCCATTGTGAAAGTGGGATGCAACTGGCCCCCTTCCTCATCCTCTTCCTCCTCCGCCCTCCGCCTCCTGCCCGCCCGCCCTCCCTCCCTCCACGCCCATCTCCCCTCCCCTCTTGATTCGGTGAGGTAGGGAGGAGGAAGGTCTCGTAATTTGGGTTACTGTGTAGGTGGCCTCTTTCATCTATTCATAACAAAGCTGAGCCGCCTGCTGTTGCCGCCGCGGCCGCCACCATCGCCCCTTGGCTCTCCCGGGGCTCCCGGGGCGCGCTAGCAGTATGCCAAGCGGGCTCCCGCGCGCGTCCGCCCGCGGGGCTGCTCCAACGCTCGGGTTTTGTTTATGAGAGCAGCCGGGGGGATGCGCCAGGCACCGGGGAGCGAGGACCTAGGGCGCCGAGGGTTTGCAGCTGAGGCCCAGGGCTCAGGCCACAGGGAGGCTGCAGGGCGGCTGACAGGTGTGGAGCGGCGGGAAGGAGGCCCTGGGGAGGCCCGCGGGAGACGTGCACGAGCCGGAGGCTCAGGGGACGGAGGTGTCCCTGCCACAGGGGTTGGGTTTCCCCGGGTCAGAGGAGCGAGGTGGGGGAAAGGCAGGCGCCGAGACTCCGGTTCTGGACAATCCCCAGGGCCAGAGCTCCCATATTTGAAAAGGTTCTCTGATCTCCCTTGGCAACGGAGTCCCAGGCTCCCAGACCTGGCGCTTAGAAAGTTCTACTCAACATCTAGCCTCAATGTTCCTGGTTAACATTTATTGAGCACTTACTGCGTGCCGGCTGCTGTTCGAAATTTACCCCATGGATTAAAAAAGACTCGTTTAATACCCCAATAACCCTTTTAATTAGTGACTGTTGTAATCATCATCCCCATTTAGTAGTGAGAATGATCATGGTTGAGGTTATGGAACTCTCATGGGCCCTACCTCTGGTTAACAGTAGAGGTGAGTTTCGAATCCCTGTCTAGCTTCAGGGCCACTTACACATCTTGCTCTAGCCAGGTGCCACCTGTGGCCGATCCAATAAGGCTGCGAGATCATTTTCAGCAAGTGGGCCTGCAAAGTTCCCCAAGTTAAATGCTCCAACCTGCCCTCCCCAGCCCAGCCTTCTAATTTTAGAGCTAGGTACCCTTTATTCCCTAGAGGCTCTCTCTCTGCCTCATCCTTTTCCACTTCTTTTCTTCGGGCCTTCTGAGGTCTCACCAATCCACCCAGGGGTGCCCCCAAAGCCACCAAGAATTTCTGGAGCACAGTGAATTTCTGAATCATTGCACATGTGGGGGTAGGTTCATGATCTCTCAGAGGAAGCACAAATGCCTCCCAGCTTCCTGAGGCAGCTGATGGGACCAACAGCACACTTCGAGTCTGGCAGGTGACCCGGGGTGGGGGGTGTAATAAGGGGCTCCCCAGGACCCTGACGCATCTTTGCAAAAAGATCTCTGTCCCTTCACCGGCTGCTTCCAGGCCACAGGGCCCAGGGAGAGTAATGGGATACATCACCTTTCTTCTTTCCCTTCCTGGCTCCCCAACTCTAGATGGACTCTATTTTGGTGGGGGGAATGGGGTGAACGGGCTTCCTCCAGATGCTGAACCCTCTTGAAGGAGCAGCTGCCACAGGTTTCCAGTTTCTAAAATAGTGCTTCAAGTTCTCCCCCGTGCTGATGGATGAGGCAGGAGAAGGAGCTTGGGGAGGCTGGAGGGACAGAGGGTGGGCTGAGGCAGGAAGCAGAAGAGAAACAGAAGTTTCTGCCCTTGCCATGCAGTTAAAGAATCCCACCATCCCAGCAGTGGCTCTCGTATTCTGCATTCACAGTGGTCATCGTCCCATTCAATAATTTCCCTGTCTGAAATTGGATGACATTATCTCTGCCTGCCAGTGGGCAGGAAATACTTTGCCGTGAGCTGTGTGGCAGTGGCAGCCGGGGTACTGGGGAGGGGGACGAATGAGGGAGACAGCCTGGGACCCCAGGCTGACGTTAGTCGGGAGACTGTCCATAATGCACATCAGATATGCTCTCTGCTGCAAGATAATCAGGCCCCACTCCCCCATTCTCTGCCTACCTGAAATGTTTTAATCACTTTCTTGCTCTGCTGGAAACGGGAAAAGTAGTACCCAAGAAACACCTGCAGAAACTCACCGAAGCCCTCCCAGCATCGGAGCGGATTCCCGTTGTGGACACGGTGACACTTTTCCCTGTGAATGATGAGGAACACAGCGTTCATCACTGCTGCCGCGAACCCGCCGCGGCATGGCTGTCGCTGTGCTGAGAAGCAACGGTCCAATTCCATTCTGGAGATAGTTTTACTTCACTGGTAACCACGCAATTTCTCTAAGTCCTGCAGAGCTGTGACAATCAGGAGGAGACCATCTTGGGAGCTATTTGGATTAAACATACTCTATGGTTGGCATTTTGATCACCACTCAATTCGTTGCCGCCTTGTTCTGAGAAAGAAACATCTGAAAAATACTAGCAGCAAGGAGCATAAATGGCTCCGATGGCTACAGTTTCTTGCCATTCTAGAATCCAGGATGACAAGCCCCACTCCTGGAAGCACGCCTCCTTTTTTTCCCCGTTGAACTGTCTGCAGGCGCCTATGGGGAAGGGAGTCAGAAGCTGTGCCTACTTTTTGGCATGAGAAAGGCAGGAGACTAGGGAGCATGTAAATATATTCTTTGCTGAGTCTACCCCATTTTGTACAAACATGTTTGCCCCTTTCCAATTTTCCTGTGTACTAAAGCTCCACCTGGAGGACATAATCTCACACTTGAAAAGCGTGGGAAATACGAACAACAGAAATCAGTGGGCATGTGGATTCTGTCTGGCTCAGCTCGCTTCCCGCCCCCCACCCCGGACCCTGGCGCCCAGCCAGGGGTGCGAGTCCCCCTGGTGACACGGCTTCCCTCTCCCACTGACGGAGCCCATGCTGGTGGGTGTCACTCGCTGCACATTTGGAACTCCTTGTCACACCACTGGCTGAAACCCAAAGAAAAAGAAGACGGTGCAAATTTATCCTCCAGACAGAGGCCCGCTACCACGGAAACAGGCAGTTCAGGCTGATTTGGAGCCGTTTTATTTGTAGCATTCACTAGATCGGAAAGTCTTCGTAATGAGAAAGTCAGCTCCCCCAGGCAGCTCCGACAACCTGGGTTAACCAGACCATCCACAATCAGACTCATTTCTACCGGACAGGACTTTATAGATTCAACGGTTTCCTGCTGAGGCTCAGGACATGAAAAACTGTTCGGTAGACAACTGGTCACAGTCACAAGACAGCTATCATTGGTGTTCTCAGTTTTCTTTCTGACTTTAAAGAAAAAAAAAAAATCTGACAGTGATCTGTAGGATGACTGGGCCGGCAGAGATCGAAAGCACCGAAGGTACCAGTTCCGGTGGCCAATGAATTCTCTGCCTCGTTCAAGGAGTTACCACCCCTCTGGCTGCATTTGGGAACCCCGGTGGGTCTCATCGTACCAGTGCTGTCCTGCTAGGACTTCAGACAGGCTGCGTCCTTCCCCACAGCTTTGCTCAAGTCTACATGGTCTTCCACATCCAGGTCCTTATCAAAGCTCCCGGCCCCTTTTGGTGACTGACAGGAAAAAAGACATGAGCCAGCCTCCTTTCTAGTCTGCTGATGAGTAGATGGTTGAAAGCAGATAAGATGGAGAGCCATTTAATAAGTTTGAATTGATGCTGAGAGACGAGTTGAATGCAATTCAATCAACATGAAAAGTCAGTCAAACGCAGCACAGTTAAGATGCGGCTAAAGGAACACAATGCTTTGTCTTCTTGCCTGCCCAACATGGCCCCAGATGACTATTGAGCGTTCTTATGCTTGGGGATACTGCCCCATTGCCTTTGGTTGAAGCAATGAAGGCCGAGGGCTGTTCCTTCCGTAGGGAGGATACGATTTACCCCAAGCATTACTTCCATCCTCTTTCCTCCGTCCCAGCTTCATAGCTCATGGTCGTTCAGCAGCAGAGTTAGAATTGTAGATGGGAGAATGGTTTGGAGGTACCAAAAAAAAAAAAAAAATTCTTGACTCAAGGTCCAAAGACTTCCCTTAAGCTAGATAAGAGCCTTTGGTCAGCTCTGGGGACCCATGAGTTGTTTCCTAGAGAGGGGATGTCAACTGTTGGTTGTTTTTTGTTTTTTGTTTTTTTTTAAAGATTTTATTTATTTATTTATTTGACAGACAGAGATGACAAGTAGGCAGAGAGGCAGGCAGAGAGAGAGGGGGAAGCAGGCTCCCCGCTGAGCAGAGAGCCCGATGTGGGGCTCGATCCCAGGACCCTGAGACCATGACCTGAGCTGAAGGCAGAGGCTTTAACCCACTGAGCCACCCAGGCGCCCCCTGTTGGTTGTTTTTAAGAGGCTGGTTCTAGGACATCATCTGGACCCCTAGTGCCTCTCTTCTCAGGTAATACACTCAGTGTCAAGAAGTTTCTTTTGAACCCTTTCTCCAAAACATTCCCCCAAACCATCAGTGGTTAAAAGTCTGAGACCCTTGCTGGTTGGGAGCAAAATACGGTAAATCATCAGTATTTTTCCAGACCAGCTGGGGGGGTCACCCTGCATGAAGTACACAAAATCAATGGTTAATTATTTCTTCCGATTTGGGGAATCTCTGTCACTTGCTGAGTAGTTTCTTGGTCACAAGCCTTT